GTATATGAATGAGTGTATATGTGTGTGTGTGTGTGCGTGTGCGCGTGTGTGTCTTGGGCCAGGGCAGAGCTAGGAAATCACCCCCTGTTGCCACCCTCTTTCATTTCTGTAACTCTTCATCTCTGTCCCCAGGTTAGTCCTGAGCTCTGTCCTTAGAGACCCCGTGTTCCTTGTATCTGTCAATTGCTGAGAATGACAGCTGGATGTGGGTGCCGGCAGGAGTGGAGGGGGAGATGAGAGACAGGTCCTCTGATCAGCGGATGCAACACTGATTTCTGTTAAACACAAACCAGCAACCAAGCAAGCACCGTTCCTAGCTGTTCAACAACACGGCTTTGATGAGATTTATTACAGCTTAGCCGTAAATGGAAACTACAATCTCCCTAGAACAAGGTTTTATGACATAAGAAAGTGATTGCAATACTGTTACAATAGAAACCCCAACTAAACTGCAGCACCAGCAAAGCTCCAAGAGTCAGTGTTTATGTCTCTGGGTGCTGGAGCTGTGACGGTGAATAAGAAGAGCTATGATTCAAACGTGACCAAGAGCTGTGCTCTGGTGGGGGTGGTGGGCGGGGGGCATGTTAGTAGAAGATGGAGATAAATCGAGGTAGAATCACCAGGGAGAGGAAGCGTGCTGGGGAGCTGCATGCAGTGGCTCTGAGCGTGCTGAACCAGAGCACTAACCCGGCCCAGGAGGCGACCAAAGGGGCTAAGGGGACAGGAGGTGAGGCACAGCACCCAGGACCCAGTCCCGTGGAAGAGGAAGCCAGAGTCAGGAAGCACGCACTGTGGAAGGAGCAGCTCGGGTCCCTGTTGAGTGTTTGCAAGGACACGCGCCACTCTGAGCAGCGTTTCTTCCAGGAGGTAGCATCCTGCCTCATCTGCCCCCGTACCTACGCATGGAGCAGCGTTTCCACGGATCCGCAAGAGAGGGTGGAACAAGGGGACTCGCCTGCACAGGAGGCCAGCTGCGCGCTGCATTTAGTGACGCCTCTCCTCGCTCCCAAGAGGAAGAACAAGCTGCTTGCAACTATGTTAGCAATATGGGAGGCTAAAATACTTTGTCAGATGGTGACCAGAGTCAGATGGAGAGGGGGGAGCACCCTTACTGTGTGCTTTGGCCTGTCTGGGCTCGCCATTTAGTTCTTCTGTTGAAAAGATTTATTTATTTATTTATTTATTTTGAAAGCGTTACAGAGAGAGAGAGATCTTCCATCTGTTGATTCCACAATGGCCACTGCTGGGCCAGGCCAAAGACAAGAGCCAGGAACAACATCCGGAACTCCTACGTGGGTGGCAGGAATCCAAACTTGAGCCATCTTCTGCTGCTTTCCTCAGGCCATTAGCAGGGAGCTGGATTGGAAGTGGAGCAGCCGGTTCTCAAACCAACGCCCATATGGGATGCTTGTGGGATGCTAGCTTAGCAAGTGGCAGCTTTACCTGCTGCGCCATAGCACTGGCCCTGCCATTTAGTTCTGACACTGACATTGAATTTTGCTGTTACACTTGGTTTTCCAAAATTTAGGGAAAAAATCTTCCATTGTTATTTTCTCTGCCCTTTATTGCAATAGTCTCCCATTATACATAGCAGGGGGAGTGTACATTCTGAGACACCCCCCCCCATTTCCTCCTGAAAATGAGGGAGGAGAGAAACGAACCTTTTACACACTATGTTTTATCCTATGCACATGAGAGTCTTATGATAAAGTTTAATTATACATTAGGCACAGTAAGGGAGTAGCAATAATAACTCCTAATAAAATAGAATAATTATAACAATAGATGGTAATAAACATGATTTAAAATGTATAATTGTTTCTTTCTGGAATGACTCTGTACTCTCCCTTGAAGTGCATTTTCTTTTCTGTTTTGCATTTTTGCAACTTTAGAAATCTAAATCCCCTCCCCACAGGGAAAGGGCCCCTTTTTGCTCAGCTCTGCACAGTGAGGCATTAGGAGTCTGCACAGCAGGTGCACAAACGGCTATAAACCAGTCACTTCCCCAGGACAGAGGGTGACTTGCACGCTCTGCCCGGCACTCAGAGTGCCACACACCCTGCATGGGTCCAAGACGCAGTTGCCAATATGATTTATGGGAGTTATTTTCCCAAGTGTCGGCAGAGACTAGATATTGATTCAAAAGGGCTTAAGTGGCTGTATAACCCAGGAAGGGACAGAGACCGAGAACAGGATGTGTGCAGCAGCTGGAACGGACGTCACAAGAATCCCTGATCTTCTGGAAAACTGCTTCCAAGGGAGCCGTGGGGGGGTACAGGGACAGGGCAGGGCAGTGGAGTCACTGGGTTTAAATTCAGGCTCCATCGTGTCCCATACTAGGGCTGTGGACTTGGGCACATCACATGGCCTGATATGTTCTCAGAAAGAACTAGACATTTTGTGGAAAGGAAGGTACTCACGGGTGTGTGTGTGTGTGTGTGTGTGTGTGTAGAGCAGGCCCCTGTGTCTGTGGGGCATGTGTTCTGAGACCCCCAGTGGTTGCCTGAGAGCATGGAAGGAACTGAACCCAAAGTAATACTGTGTTTTTCCTATCTGTACTAACTTTTGATAAAGTTTAATTTATAAACTAGACATAATAAAAGATTAATAGCAATGGTTACTAATAAAATAGAACACATTTAACATATGCTGTAATAAAAGTTATTTATAACTTATGCATTGTTTATTTCTGGAATATTTGATGTAATATTTTGAGACCATGGTTGACCCTGGGTAACTGAAACCACAGGAAGTGAAGTCGTGGAGGGGAGGGAGCTGACTGCCCAGGTATGTGCATGTGAACATGCACATATTCCTATAGGTGTACATGTATGCAGATGTGTGCAGCTCATGCTCTAGCATGTCATAGAAACTCCATGAACAAAAGTACTCTCCCATTTGTGCATAGCATGTGGCCTGATAGAGAGGTAGATACAGCATTTCAGAACTACCCCCTGTTCTGCACAGTAATCTCAGTTCTGTCATTCTCCCTGAGTCAACCCTGCCACTACGACCAGCACCAGTAACATTTCCTCTTTCAAACCCCTTATAACCCGTTCCGGCTGCCTAGGACTGCGTAACAAATAGCCAAAAACGTAGAGGCATGGAACATCCATTTATTCTGCTCATGGTTTTGTGGATTGGGAATTCAGAGATAGCCCAGAGACGCTGGCTTGTCTGTGCTCTGTGGTCTGTGAGGCCTCAGCTGGGAGACTCAACGGCTGGGGGCTGGAACCATCTGCAGGTTCACTCACTCCCAAGTCTGGTGAGAAATGCCAGCTTCTGGCTGAGACCCAAACTGAGGCTGTCGGGCGGGACACGTGGCCTCCACTTCCTGCCGTCTTTGACTGCTTCCAAGGGAAATGTCCTGAGAGTGCATCCCTGCTTATGACCTTGGAAGCTGGGCTGTGTCACTACCACCACATTCTGTGGACAAGGAAGCCACAAAGCTCCGCCCAGGCTGAAGGAAAGGCCACCCATAGGTGCCCTGGAGGGGGCAGTGCTGAGCTCACAGGATGGGCTGCAGGTTGGCATGGGCATATTTAGAAACACCAGCTCCAACCCACAGATGAGGCCGCTCATTCCTCCGAATCTCTCATTCCTCCAAAAACACTGCAGGTGTAGACAGAATGATCTCCATGTTAGGGATGAGGCACTGAGGCTCAGAGAGGCAACATAACTTACCTTGGGCAACTTATTCATTCTGTCTGAATGTCAGTTAACCCCTCTGTAAAATGGGTCCAAACCGCCCCCTGCCTGGGTACAGAAGCGGCCGGGGCTTTGTGATCAGGAAGGACCAGCTTGGCTGGCGCTCTGGCCGGCAGGACACAGTAACCTTAGACGTGGTACTTGTAGGCCCCGAACCTGTTTCTGTTTCCTGCTTGGGTCACTGGGGTCGAGTGAGCTACCCTCCAGCACCATGTGGATCCTTACGCGAGGCCCAGCAGGTGGGCTCACTGAGCTTCAGTCCCTACAACTTCCACTCGATGGATGACAGAACAGGGAGGTCTGGATCACGGGGTGCCCGCGGTGTCTGTGCTCACCCATCTTACTGACAGGAGCGATTCTCCGCTGGGAGGCCTGGGAGGCCTGGGAGGCCCTGGCCCAGCAGCTATCCCCGCCCATGGCTGGCTGGAAGCACCTACAGAGCTCAGTGCTCTCAGCTTCAGCCAGGCTGGTTCTTAGAAAGTGAGTTCTCTCCCCTTACCCTAAATCTCCTCATCTCTAACTCTCACCGCTACAGGGAGCAAAGGCAATTTTTAAATTAAATTTTATTTTATTTATTTGAAAGGCAAAGGAAGACAGAGATGACCCCCCCCCCAAATGACCTCAAGCACTGGAGCTGGGCCTGGCCAAAGCCAGGAGCCTAGAACTCTAGCTGGGTCTCCCATGTGGGTGCAGGGGCCCAAACACTTGCGCCATCTGCTGCCGCTTTCCCTGGTGCATTAACAGGGAGCTGGTTCTCCTATGGCCTGGCTCTGCTATGGCCTTCACCCATGTGGGCGACCCGGAAGAAGCTCCTGGCTCCTGACTCCTAATTAGCCCAGCTCCGATTGTTGGGGCCATTTGTGGAGTGAACCAGCAGACAGAAGACCTCTCTCTCTTTCTCTGCCTCTGCCTCTCTGTAACTCTGTCTTTCAAATAAATAAATATATCTTAAAACTAAACTAAACTAAACTAAACTAAACTAAACAAAAACCAGGGAGCTGGATCAGAAGAACAGCAGCTGGGACTTAACCCGGTGCTCATGTGGGATGCTGGCATCCCAGACAGTGGCTCCACCCACTGGGCCAGAACACGCACCCACAAATCAACCTTCCAAATCCCAATAACCCAGGGGAGGAATCAGGTTCAGAGAAGTGCCACCACTTTCCCAGGGCCACACAGTGTGAAAGGATCAAGGCAGGAGGGGGCAGCTGGCCCACAGGAATGTGCCCAGGGTTGGTGACCAACCCAGCCCCTCCCCTTCAACTCCTCCTCCCTCCCCTAGGCCAACAGGAGAAAACCATTTCCTATTCCTGGCTTCTCTGCCAGCCCAGAGAGACTGATGAAGAAGAAAAGTTTCCAAATATACCAGGGTGGGCTTTTCTGGTTTCTGAGCGCTGTTGCTGTCTGCTGTTCGACATCTGTGTCCCCTGAGACGCTGGGAAATGCAGGTGCAGGGGCCCGGGCAGCAGCTGCCGTGTCCGGGCTGGGTCCCCGCCATCTCCTCAGTCTGTTTCCTCGGGCTGTGTGCTCGCGCTTGACCATGTTTGGGCATGGAGGCTCGTCCCAGATGGGGACCCAAGGCTGCTTCCCTGGAGACGGGCTGGGAGGCCAAACTTCCTGCTAGCGCCGCCGGGGCCTCTTTTGGGGTGGGGGCTGGGGGTCAGGAAGAAAGAAACCCTCTGCTTGCCGAAGACCCCTCGAGGCACTGGGAGCCTGTGAGTAACGCATCCCAGAGCACAGGGAAGGGGGTGCAGGGGAGCCCTTGAGAAGCAGCTGAGGTGGGGCAGGGAGGGGCGGGTGGCGGAGCCCCTTCCTCTCTGGGTGCTGCCCACCAGGATTCTGGGCTCAGAGGCTGTGGCTCTGCCCTGGCCCCAGGTCCCCGTGGCCAGAGTGGCCAGAGGGCAGCAGTCTGAGATCAGGACCAGCCCTGCTGTTTGTCCCCAGGGGAGGGCTAGGGTAATACATGGACATGGCAGAAACGCGCCAGGCTTTTGCCCCCAACTTCAAGGGTTTCCTGTGTTAATAACAGTAGCTGATTTTCACGGAGGGCTGGTGCAGGGCCAGGCCCCGGGAGACCCGTGTGCGAGGATGCACCGTCTGATCTTTATCAGAACTCTCCGAGGCAGGTAGCAGTGTTTGCTCGTGTGTCAGTCACGTGGTTGTAAAGTGGCAAAGCCAGGATTTGATGCCATGTCTGGTGACCTCAGAATCCCTCTGTCCCGTACCCCACCAAACCTTAAAACCTGTACTATCTTCCCTGCCCTTCTAAGGAGTGGATGTCTGCCCAACTGTCTGATCCATGGGACTCTCCAGAATCCTGTCTTCCTTTGCCTGTCTACATCCTTCCTACATCCAACACATAGCCTTTCCAGTGGTGTACAGTTATTCAGCAACTCTCAAAACTGGGAAGTTCCTCTTAGAGTCTAACTGAACTCTCCCCTGTTATGGCTGAAACTCATTTCTTCCTGTCCCGGCTCCAGGGGTATATTGAAAGTTTCCATCCCTCCTCCTGTCTGAATGTTTTCATATAGATATGCAACAGTGCCCGAGTCTTATATCTAACTAGAGCCTGACACACCGTCCCAGGAGGTCTCATCAGCAGTCTCCAAACTCACTGGCCAGGCACAGGCAGAAATCCCATCAGAGCACCGTGGACAGGTGGGACCTGAACAAGCCCACAGGGTTCCGGACTCCTCGGTGGCAAGGAAGCCTCCTAATTTCCCAGGATGGGTAGAAATGTAATTCCAGCATTTCCCAGCCTTTCCCAGCCTTTCCCAGCCTTTCCTAGCCTCAGGAGTGTCAGGGGAGGGGGAGGCACACCCCTGGGGGGCGGGGCTGCTCAGCCAGAAGGAGCCCATGCCAAGAGAAACCCCCATACTACCCTCCAACCTCCCTGGGGAGAAGGAGCTCAGTGTGGGTTCTCGGCCTCGCCCTCCAGGGTGGGTTCCCTCTGGGCCGCAAGTGATTTGGGTCCCTTAGTCCCTGGTGCCGCGACCCCTGGGAACACCAGGGAACTGAGGTGTTGTGGGCTTTTGCCCACCTCCAGACCATCCTGTGGCTTTACCTGTAAATAGGTGGCCGGGCTCATGAAATCCGCATCAGGTACCAGGTAGAAAACCGTGTGCCTCTCCCATTCCCACAAGATGTTGGGTAGAAGGCCAGGGGTGAGAGCATGGACAAGAACATCATTCTTTGCCAGGGGAAACTTTCGCTCGCTGGTCACTTGGCAATGTCTCTGTTAGAATGTAGGAGCACCCCACCTCCTGGAGAGCCCCAAGGAGGGAGAAACAGTTGCCATTGGCTGTCATCTCTGTCAGTCAAGGGGTCGGGGTGGGCAAGCTCACAGGGAGTGGGGGACTGAGTTCTCTTCTGGTGCCTGACTGTGGCTCTGCTCTTTAGGACAGAGTGGCTGGGCCTGCTGGGCAGGTGTGGGAGCCTAGGACCTCTGATGCGACAGTGGGAAATAAAGCACCTTGCTGAAAATCCTTTGGGACTAATGCCTGTCTCCCAGACACTCACTAAGTTATAAAAAAACAATGCACTTATTGCTTTGGGATGTGGACAGGTGAAAAAGTCCCTCCTGATATCTGGCTACAATTTCTCCTAAAGCAGGGAGTTCCCAACCAAAGGGTCCCAGGGCCCTGGTATTTTTGGTAGAAATGGTCTCTGATGGCCTTAACTGAGAAAAAAAAAAAAAAGTAACAACAGAGAAATTCAATGGAAGGCTCTGGGGCAGTCCCCAGAGCGTGTGGAAAACCCCAGGAGGCCACAGCTAGGCAGCCATGTGGCTCCGGGTGGCACCTACATGGGGGAGCTGTTCCTTGGAGACCCTTGGTCAAGATGCAAACTCTGGAGGGTTCCTCCTGGGAGGTGGGGGGAGGGAGGGAATCTGCAGGGGAAGCGGGGAGACGCCTAGATGGAAGACAGCGGCTGCAGCCACAGGAGGCAGAAAACAACTCCCTCCCAGCCCCATTCTGCTCTGGCTCAGGCTGTCTTCCAGTCCTGAAGCAGGACGTTAGTCACTGAGGGCCCCCAACGCCTTCTTCCTGTGCTGGAAGGCGGAGCCGGCCCCTGCAGCGATCCGGAGCTGGGAAACCCGCCCCAGGGCCTGCTGCCCTCAGCCCAGCCTGCCTTGCCTCAGGACTCTTTCTTGGCAGAAAGGTGAAATGCACCAAGCTTCTCTGTAAGAGTCCCAGGCGCAGGCGCAGGCGCAGGCGCAGGGTGATACGGATCTGCAGCTCACTTGCTGTGTTAACTTCCTGTGGTCTCGTGCATGACGGTCTCAAGCAAGAGCACTCTACTGTCTCTCCAATCTGGAGTCTGGAAGTCCAAAGCCCCCGGGGGTCTGCAGGGCTGTGCCTCTGTAGAGGTTGGGGGCGGTGACCCAGGGCTCCTCTTCCCTCCAGCTTCTGTCTCCCTGGTCCTATCTCCTTCTCTTCTTCTATGTCTAATCTCCCCTGTGCCTCACCTCTGTTGAGACTCCTTGTGGTCACATTGAAGGGCTAAATGGATTATCTGAGAATCTCTTTTTAGATCAAGATCCTTCATGTAATCACCTTTGCAAAGGCGTTGCCATGGAAAGTGACACTTATAGATTCCAGGGATTACAGCAGGGACATCTTGGCATGTGAGCCTATCACATGCTGGGTGACCTCAGGCAGCTCACTTTCCCCCTCTGAGTCATAGGTCCCATATCTGTAGGATGAACATGATGACAGTTGTCCCTCGTGAGTGACTGGGGGTCAACAAAAAACCCTGTGGGTGCTGCCAAGCTACATATGTAAATAGCAGTGTGGTTGGTGTTTAAGTCACCTCCCTTCTTACCTGTCCTACTCTCCAAGGGTCACCTGTTGCCTGTGCTGATTACACTTCTATTTGCCTTTGTGGTCCTAGAAATGACCGCTGTCCCCAGTGGGCATGGGGAAGAAGTTGGTGATGGCCCAGAAGCGAGGAGAGACTAGAGCCCTTTGCCTGGGTGTGGCCATGGTGATGTGTGCTGTCATCACCTACTACATCCTGGGAACGACTATGCTGCCCCTCTACCAGAAAAGGTACCGAACTGCTGGCCGGTTCCCCATCCCACCCTGCCCCACCCCACCCCACGGCCTTGGCTCTCCCCTAAGGTTTTGGGGTCTACAGAGGACTTCAGCCTTCTACCTACCCCTCCCCTGACTGTCGCTAGGCAGGGCAGTCAAGATAATCCTCATTCTTGAATTCAGGTGAACAAGTGCAAGGAGGCTAGGCTGGACTGAGCCTGCCTGGGTTAGGCCTAGCTGATAAGATATGCAAGGTGCCCTGCTCACAAAAACAGCCAAGGATGGGATCAGGCACTTCAGTGTGAATTTGCTCCAGCAGGAATCAGCATCACAGGCTTCGATAGCTCCCCTCAGGAAAAAAAAAAAAAAAAAAAAAAACCAGCAGGAGGGCAGATGGGGAGCTCGCTACCTCATTGATCACCCCCATTGCGAGTCTGGGCTTTTCTGCTAAGTGGGAAGTGTCTGCACGGAGCCAGCGTCTGCTTCCCTGGAACTCCGCTCGGGAATCTTAGGGAACATTCCTTGCACTGCTTATGCACATTGTCACCCACCCGAGGAATTCCTGATTTGTGTTCTGTTAGGGATAAACATGCTCGGTACTCTCAGGCCGTCCTTAGGAGAGGACTTAGACCCATCCTCTAAGCCTGTTCCAGCCGCCAGCAGCCCCCTCGCGCCTGGTGATGCGTCTCCGGCAGGATAAATGGGAGATGAGTCACAGGTGATGTGCCGATGTGTTGCTGAGCCTGGGAGCTCTCCCAGGCCCGTGCTGTCTTCACTTTTTACAGCCCTGGAGCTGGTCCAGGCTGGAATCTTACCCTAGCAAGGCGCTGCTCAGAGCAGCCCTGTGCCTCCCATACCTTATGTCCTGACTACACCCCGTCCCGCCCTCTCCCCCACCCAGCATGAATCAAGCCCTTCCTGCATCTGTTCTTTTTAGGAGAAAGAGCACAGACTCTGAAGCCATCCAGACTTAGCCTCAGGTGCTGTGTGGCCTTGGAAAAGTCACTTGACATTCCTGAGCTCCTCTTGCAACTCTGTAAAGGAAGATGATTGGGCGAGGAGATCTAGGGCCTGCCAGCTCATCAGATTCACGCTGGAAAGCTTTTAAGAACTACCAGGGCCTGGGCCCCACCACCTGAGAAGTTCTGATTCACTTGATCCAGGGTGTGGCTTGGTCATGAGAATCGCTTGAAAAGCGCGCCAGGTTTTGGGGTGGATGAAAACCATCTATGCAGACGGTGTCCAATGCCCATTTTCAGCTCTGGGATTCTGACTCGGATTCCTCCCCAGGCCCAGGGACCCTGGGCTCCCCAGTGCTGGGTGCTTATAGTAAGATGAGGGTCTCAATACGGGGGCTCTTTAAGGCTCCCAGGGGATTGAGGATTCAAACTGGGTGCTCTGTGTGTCACCCTGGTTCTGATGTGCGTGGGCGCACGTGTGTGTGTGGTCTCCCCAGCGTGTGGACCCAGGAATCCTTGTGTCGGCTGATTGAGACCAACATCAGGGACCAGGAGGAGCTGGAGGGCAAGAAGGTGCCGCAGTACCCATGCCTGTGGGTCAATGTGTCAGCCGTGGGCAAGTGGGCTGTGCTGTACCACACGGAGGAGACTCGGGACCGGAATCAGCAGGTACCGACCCAGGGGCACAGACGCACATCCCTCGATCCCTGACAGGTGTATGGGCTTGTCCCCACCTGTCCAAGTCCCCAGGACTGAGGAAGATGACCCCCCCCCCTTGTGTCTCACAACGGGTAGTGAAGTCATTACTGTTCCACTAGACAGGCACCCTCCCAAGCCCATTCAACAAGGTTCAGAGAGGTTGAGGCAGTTGTCGAGGTCACACAGCTCAAAACTGGTGGTTGAATCTAGGCCTGCCTGGCTCTGGGACCACATTTTTACTAAGTGGGCAAGGTTTCCCAAGGTCATGGTCAGAAGCATGGAGGAAACTTGGGCCAGACCTCCAGCTGTTAGCTCAGAACACTGATCACACGCTCCTGAAAACCCTGCATTGCCCAGACCTCTGAATGCCAGGTTCCTGGGGAGCCAGCTTCTCCCCAGCCCCACCTGCACCCTGGTTGGAAGCGCACCTACATCTGGATGCATGCCCCGCCCCATTTCTAGGCTGCCAGAGTGTGATACAGCAACCTCTGCACTGCTGGACTGAACGCTGTTGGGGGCAGGCAGTTTTGGGGTGGGTGGCCTCATTCAAGTTCAGGGAGTCTGCAGCCTGGGGAGAAGCCAGCTCAACACTGGTCATTTGGGTCTCATGTTTGCGCACTTGATCTTGGACATGACCTCATTAGGGCAGCTGTCCTAATGAGCTTGTAGGAATCACCTGACTCCTGGGCCGCATCTCAACCACTCAGAGTAGGAACCTGTGCCGATGGGCAGCCCTCCAGGTGTGCTGCTGTGGGGGATGAGAGGACCACACTTGCAGAATATCTCCCAGCAGCTCACACAAGTAACACGGAGGCCTCCTAGCACAGAGCAGAGACAAAACCGGGCTGTCCACTGGGTGCCTTCTTTGCAGAACTTTCTAGCTGGGCCTTGTCTGATCGGTGTTGGAATTGAATGGGCCACCCTCTGCCTACACAGACTTCTTCTCAACATGTTCTCCCAGTGTCAAACACCGGCTTCCCAGTGGATATTGTTTGGCTTGTGTAAGATTAGACCTCAAAGGGATTTCAATTTGAATGTTTGCCAATATTTTTAATTTGCAAGAGTTCACATTCAAATCTGATTTTCTTCATCCAGAGAGAGGGGTGACTGCCAGTGTGGGTGCAGCTGGCTCTTTCCCTTGTACCAGGCCCCCTTACTCCCTCACAATTCTTCCTGGCACCAAGGCAAGAGTCATTTGGCACCTGTCATCCTATGGCTTGGCCTATTACACTTGCTGATATCACCTACATGAGCCCTGAATTTACATACAACTCCTACTGGGCCTGTGCCACTCATTGGCCTCCTTAGCCAGTTATGTTTGAAGTCTTTAATAATACCCTTTGGAAGTGATATTGTTATTAACCTATTTAAGGAAGTAAGGTAGCAAGGCTCAGAATAGATGAGCAATTTACTATGCCAATAGAAGCAGGGCCAGGAGCCCAACTGGGGCCCTGCATCCAGGTGGGCAGCTCCAGGACCACCAGCCACGCACACAGCATTGAGTAACTGTGCTCTCTGGGACTAGGCAGTGTTCAGACAGAAGCCCTGACTCCTCTCCAGGTGCCCAGCCCCAAAGCTGGCCTTTTTCTTTAGTCCCCTCCAAAACCCTGTCTCCTGAGCCCTCGGATGCAGGGACTTGCAACCCACAGGTGCTATTACTTCTCCCCCCAACAGTGCTCCTACATCCCAGGCAGCCTGGACAACTACCAGATGGCCCTGGCCGACGTGGAGAAGGTCAGAGCCAAATTCCACGAGCGCCAGGTTTTCTACTGCTTCTCCACGACGCAGGAGAACGAGACCAGCGTCCTGTATCAGCGTCTGTACGGGCCCCAGGCCCTCCTCGCCTCCCTCTTCTGGCCCACCTTCCTGCTCACCGGTGGCCTCCTCATTATTGCCATGGTGAAGATCAACCGGTCCCTCTCCATCCTGGCGGCCCAGAAGTAGACTCATTCCTGCCCCTCCAGGGGTGGGACTGCTCCCCACCTGCCGGACGGGCCTCCTTCCCCCGCCCCCCTCTCCAGCTCATCCTGCCTCCTGCTTCATGGTTGACCTTTGGGAAATCCCTTAGTTAAAGTCATTTCTGACTCAAGAATGTACAATGGCTCCCCACGGCCTTGCTGGACACAAGGCCAGCTGGTTACAGCTCTCTGATGCCTGTTTCCACTCAGCTGACGCATACCTGATTCCTATGGTGTCACCACAGCGAGGATTGTCACCTCTGTCCCGTGTTCTCCTGCTGCCTCAGAGGACTGCCTCGCCCACCCGGGCAGCCGTCCTTGGCAGACTGCAGTCCTTTATTTGCATTTCACAATAAAAACAACAGCTCTCATTTCTAGAGCACATTTAGAAGAATGTTTTTTTAAAGAGTCATAGATGCTATGTACAGTGTTTTATTCGAATATTAACAAACACAGTCATTCTTCAATACCCACGAGGAATTGGTTCTGAGATTCCCTGTGGATTTTAAAATCCATGGATGTTCAAGTCCCTTCTATAAAATGGCATTGGACTTGTATAGAACCTGCACACATCCTCCTGTGTGTTTTAAATAATCTCTAGATGATTGTAATACTGAATACAAAGTAAATGCTGTGTAATAATTGTTGTACTGCATTGTTTAGGGAATAATGATAAGAAAAAATTTTACAGATATTCAGTACAGATGCAATTTTTTCCCAAATATTTTCTTTTTTTTTTCTTTTCTTTTTTTTTTTTTGACAGGCAGAGTGGACAGTGAGAGAGAGAGACAGAGAGAAAGGTCTTCCTTTTGCCGTTGGTTCACCCTCCAATGGCCGCCGCGACCGGCGCGCTGCGGCCGGCGCACCGCGCTGATCCGATGGCAGGAGCCAGGAGCCAGGTACTTATCCTGGTCTCCCATGGGGTGCAGGGCCCAAGCACTTGGGCCATCCTCCACTGCACTCCCTGGCCACAGCAGAGGGCTGGCCTGGAAGAGGGGCAACCGGGACAGAATCCGGCGCCCCGACCGGGACTAGAACGCGGTGTGCCGGCGCCGCTAGGCGGAGGATTAGCCTAGTGAGCCGCGGCGCCGGCCCCCAAATATTTTCAATCTGTGGTCGTGTCTGCAAAATAACCAAAGACTGTAACAAAATGTAAAAAACATTTCAAAACGTTAACTGTGTGGTGGTGGTGAATTCTAATTTTCTTTTTTGTTTCCCTTTTTATTTCTGGACTTTTCTAAATTTTCTACCATGAGAAGCTTGTGTTGCATTTTGTTTTTAATCAGAAAAGCAACAGAAAAAAAAAAAAAAAAAAAAAAAAGGCCGGCGCCGCGGCTCACCAGGCTAATCCTCCACCTTGCAGCGCCAGCACACCGGGTTCTAGTCCCTGTCGGGGTGCCGGATTCTGTCCCGGTTACCCCTCTTCCGGCAAACTCTTTGCTGTGGCCAGGGAGTGCAGTGGAGGATGGCCCAAGCCCTTGGGCCCTGCACCCCATGGGAGACCAGGAGAAGTACCTGGCTCCTGCCTTTGGATCAACGTGGTGCACCGGCCGCGCAGCGGTGGCCATTGGAGGGTGAACCAACGGCAAAGGAAAACCTTTCTCTCTGTCTCTGTCTCTCACTGTCCATTCTGCCTGTCAAAAAAAAAAAAAAAAAAAGCAACAGTAGCTATTACTCTGGCCAAGTTCAAAGCCTGAGTTTCCATTCCCTGGGAGCTAGAGGGGCTCCTGAGTTCTAGTCCCAGTGGGAGGCAGGCTATTGAGAACGCCCAAGCATAAGGGCCACGTGGATGAAGGTGCATCACAGGAAAATACCTGGACTCTGAGCTGGGAAGCCAGGCTCAGGTCTGGAATGGGAACAATTGGAGGAGGACATCACCTCCACCACAGCCCTTCTGCTAGGGTTTGCCTTTCCCTCCTTCCCAGCCAAGGTCATGTGTGACTTAATCCTGAGAAGTCTGTGTTGCCGGTGTTTGGAGAAGGGGCCACTGAGGGGGTCAGCAGAGTTAGATGAGGTCATGAGGTCCACATGATGGTGTAGTGGCTTTCAAGGAGAGGAAGAGAGACCTAAGCTAGAAGCTTGCTCTCTCCTCCCCGACTCCCTCTGCTAGGGTGCACCGCAAAGGCCCTTGTCAGGTGCCCGGCTGATGCCAGTGCCATGCTCCGGGGCATCCCAGATGCCAGAACTGGAAGAAACAAATCTCATTTCTTTCTGAACTGCTCAGTCTGAGTGATTCAGTTATACCAACAGAACATGGACTAGGACACGCTCCAAGTTTTCCTAGAGCAGTGGTACTCAAAGTGTGGTCCCTGGACCAGCAACTTCAGGATTCCATGGTCACTTGTGAGAAATGCAGATTCTCAAGTCCACACGCCTGCCATAGAGAGCCAGACCCCTGCACAGGGTGGAGGCAATGCTCTGTGCTCTTAACAGGGGCTGCGGGCGATTCTGGAGCATGTAGCTTAGGGAACCAGGGCCTTTCCACTAGGCTTTCCAGAGTGCATAAGTGACATGTGGTACAGAGGTCCTGAGGTGGCCGTGAAGTCTGGCTGGTCTTCCTGAAGATCTTTCTGGTCCTGTGAGTCTAAGATAGAGCCCATGGGTATGAATCCTGTCTCTACCACGGCCGCGTTTCATCTCTCTTCATCCATAAAAGAGGCACTCCTATGTTTGGGGAGTTGGAAGGGCTGAAAGGGTTGGCACATAGTAGGTGGCCAGACATGGAGACTATTGTTGCTGATGTCCATAAGTTATGCATACTCAGAAGCTTCCAGAAGTCATCCCAGCTATCGCGTTCTCTCCTAGCTTATTTATTTTGTACCGGACACTGTGCTGAGTATTGCCTTGTGAAAACTCTGAGGTACTACCGACCCCACTTCCTGGAAGAGGAAAAGCAATAGAGGAAGAGGATAGTGGTTAAGTATGGGGACTGGGCAAGGCTTCTGACTGGGCTCAAATATCCAACCCTGACATTCACTGGATGACTTTGGCCAAACAAATTAACCTCTCTGAGCTCTATCTCTTCACTTGTAAAATAGGAAATAATAATAACATTTCCCTTATACGACTATATTAAATGATTTATTGTGAAAATGTCCTAGGATAGTGACTGACACCTGTAAGTGCTATATAAGCTACTACAAAAAATGGAGGAGCCAAGACCATCTACATAGGAAGCAGGGAGCTGGGAAGCAAGTCCATCTCACCACGGCATGGGAGCAGACCCAGCTGAAGGGATGAATGACACAGCCACAGCTACCCAAAAGGGTCAGTTAGGAACCAGCATTGGATCCCAGTGATGCCCAAATGCAAGTCAGGGTGCGAGCAGTTGTGTGCGTGTGTTGTGGTTGGTATCCTGGAATCTACGCCAGTATCTTCACTTCCCTCAAGGGAACCTGCTGTACCTCTGGGCCCTCCAGGTCTCTATCTGGTGCACTTTCCTTCCAAGAGGAAGTAGCTCACCTTGCCCCACGGTTCCTCCCTTCTGGGACCAGGCAAGTCTCAAGGATCCGTTGAGTCTTTTAAGAAAGTCTCACTTGTGATCTGTGCTATAGCTTTGCAAGCTATTACTATCAGGGGAAATGAGGTCAAAGGTCCATGAGATCTCTCTCTACTATTCTTCCAACTATATGCAAACTTACAATGATCTCAAAAGTTCAATTTTAACTTTAAAGAAGAAGAGGAATAAGAAAGTCCCAACAAGGCATCTGACTTCCTTGGGCTTCTTCACATGTCTCTCTTGCACCTGCACTTAGGACTGAAATACACAGAAACTACGAATATCCAAACAGCCCTTGTTGGGGGCGGGGAAAGACCGCGTACTTCTGGGAAAAGATGTACTTGGGGATGCCTCATCTGCCCCCAATCCCCATGCATTATTAAGCAAAAACCTCCGAGTGTTTGAGACCAATGTTCTCCTCCATCAGCAGGCTGGCCTACTTCTAGCAAATCCCACCCCGGCTCGCTGTTGCCAGAGCTTCGTGTGCCGGGTGAGTGTGAAATAATGGGCACATAAGCGTGATGCCGTGGGACACTGAGGAAAAATGCTCTGGGGAAGAGAGGCAGCCTGGGAGTGGAGAGCCCTCGTCCATTCTTAGTCTCTCACTGCTAAGGAGCGTCTAGAATTTCTACCCTTTTGGACTTTCCCCTGCTGAGCCCGTGACGCACACCTGAGAGGTGACCGGGCCACTTCCCAAGGTGCCCTGCCAGAACACAGAGCACATGGTGGAGGCAGGGGCAGAGTGACCTCTGTGCCCCTGACATATGACCCCCGACTGTGGGACATCCAGGGTGCCAGGTCTCGGATGAAGCTTCAGTTCATCAGCTCAACCTGCGATTAGAGGGAGAAAGCAACAAGGGTCCCTTCTGTTTCTGGAGAGCTCAGAAGGCAAAGACTTACTTCCGTTTTATGGCCCATGCACTCTCCATTAAGCTGAAAGGCTGGGGAGGACCAGAGAGATGAATCTGGTGGCACAGCACCTTTCTCCTGGGATCTTGTCTCTTCTTGCCACTCTTCCTCCCTGCTCTCTTAGTCACTATCACTAAGGGCTTCCTTCATACACTGGAGAACAGAACCCAGCTTAAAATCATGCAATACAATATCACTGTTTTTGTGACTTACTGAAATGATGCCGGCTGCCCCTCTGCACCAGAAATTCTTCTACGGGCCGGCACTGTGGAGTAGTAGGTTAAGCATCCACCTATGGCACCGGCATCCCGTATAGACACCAGTTCGAGTCCCTACTGTTCCACTTCCAGTCCAGCTCTCTGCGATGGCCTGGAAAGCAGTAGTAGATGGTCCAAGCCGTTGGGCCCCTGCACCCATGTGGGAGACCCTGAAGAAGCTCCTGGCTCCTGGCTTTGGATCGGCGCAGCTCCGGTCATGGTGGCCATTTGGGGAGTGAACCAGCAGATGGAAGACCTCTCTGTTTCTCCCTCTCTTTGTAAGTCTGCCTCTCAAGTAAAAAGTAAATCTTTAGAGAGAGAGAGAAGAAAAGAAAAAAAAGATCTATCTCCCCCCCCCCCGCCTCTGTCACTCTGCTTTAAAAAGAAAAAAAAAAAAACACAATTCGTCTAAAGTTTCTCCTAATGCCAACACACCTTGGATCACCAGAGTGCAAACTGCTGTATTTGCCTTCTAATTGAGGCAAATACTTAGAGGCCTTTGAGTTAGTCTTGCAGTTTGGGGAGCTGGGATTTTATAAACTATTTGGGAGATAGCATTTGAACACATGCAACTGACCACACTTCACCAGAGAGAAAAGAGGAAGACCCAAGAAAGGTCAGGGAAGTGGAGAAATTTATTCCAGTTGAGCAAAGCAGTTCCCAAAGTGAAGGCTTGTAGGGAAAATATTGTTTCTGTAACAAGGC